CAATCAACATTTTTGGCACCAGCAGTCAGGAAATCAAAAGGCAAACTGCATTAGGTAAATCTCCTGTCAGGGACCTTTCCTATGTACTGAGAAACAATGATGTCAGTCTAGAGACAAAGGTGCACCTGATCCAGTCCATTGTCTTTGCAATTACTTGCTATGCATCAAAGAGCTGGATAATGACTAGGGAGGATAGAAGAATTGATGCCTTTGAGTTGTGGTGCTGGGGAAGAGTCTTGAACATAACCATGAACTGCCAAGAAAACAAACAGGTCTGTCTTGGAGAGAGTGAAACCAAGTTTTTCCTTGGAGGCTAGGACTTTGAAGCTCTGTCTCACATACTTTGGGCATGGGGACACAAGGGACCAATCCTTAGAGAAGGACATCATGCTTGAAAAGGTGGAGGGACAGCGCAGGAGAGGAAGCTCCTGGATGAGATGGATTGATATAGTAACTAGGGCAATGGGGGTAAGTGTATTGGAGTCAGTGAGACTGGCTCAGGACAGGGAAGGCTTCAGAGATAACAGGGTCATTATGAGTCGCAAATACACTGTGATCACTATCGGTCAGACCGACCCAACTTAGAACAAAATGTGGAAACCACAGACATGCAACAGCATGTAAGCATTGAGTTCACATGTCGCCTATTCAGGCACGATTAAATGCTTAGGTTATATGAAACACTGAATTCCCTCACTCACAGGACGCTCAAACATTCAGCACTTTTTTTTTACTCAATTCTGAAAATACATTTTGAATTTTCTATGTGAACTTCTCTTTCAGAGAAGCGGATGTGGAAATTGGCATGGGATATGCAAATGAAGTGAATCTGCGTAAAAAAACCGCTGAGTCTTCATCTTTGTTCAGGAATTTTCTACAATCAAATTTAAAATAGAATATAACAAAATATGCTATGTGGTGGGGTGTCACTGAGTTCAAGGAAGATTTAATCAAGTTAGTAAATAAAGGAGTAGGTAGCTATTTTCAGCAATGAAACCTGTTTGACTTGGATGCTGGCTAAGTCTATTCTTTTGAAAGCTCTGTATGTACATAGACACATACATATATTGTTGCTGTGTACCATCAAATTTTCAGAGGCAGTTGATTGCATGGGAGGAGACTGTCCATCTTTTTCCTGCGGAGCAGCTGATGGATTTGAACTGTGTGCCTTCGGGATTACAGTGAAGTTTCTTTGCTACCACTAGTCCACCAGAGCACCCCATACATATATATTGTTGTTGCTGAATGCCTTTGAGTTGGGACCAACCAATAGCTGACCTTGTGGCGGGTTTTTAGAGGCAGTTAATTGCATGGGAGGAGACTGCAGGGATACTTTTCCTGTGGAGAAGCTGGTGGATTCGAACTACATGCCTTTGGGATTACAGTGCAGTTTCTTACCACTAGTCTATCAGAGCTCCATGTATACATACATACACCCCCCCATCTCCCTGTTTTTATAAATGATATTTTACTCCGTGTGAAGGTTACACACCAGTTTCTATTCTCACTGAACGAATTCTACATAAATTTTCAGTGACACTCATTCCCTTTCTCCTAACAGGTGGGCATTCTCATTGCAGGCGCTCCCTAGTTAACAAACAAGATCCACGCCTCAGTGTGACTTTAAGTGGGATTTGTAGGTAAATTGGACCAGGTGCATATGGTTCTTATTCAGCCCTAAGTGCTGATTTAGCTTTAGGGAGCTCCAGAGGCTTAGTGCTAAGGTGTTGTGGTGCCAACCCAAAGACGTAGGGCTTGAACCCACCAGCTGCTCTGCTTAAGAAAGATGGTCAATCTCCTTCCACGCATTCCCTGTCTCCGAAAACCCACTGGAGGCTCAGTTATGAGTTGGTTCAGACTCAAGGGTCAACACTTTTTTTGCCCAAGTTGCTTCAAGGATTTAAAAGCTGCACACACAGCGAGTGAAGGTGTATTGCGAAGGATCTGCTGGGAGAAAGACTTGATTAATAAGCTCTGGTGCCAGAGTGGTTAACACACTCAGCCGCTAACCAGATGCCTGGTCGTTTGAACCAACTAGCCACACCCAGAGGGAGACGTGGTGCATGACAGGCTGGGCTGCTAACAGGAAGGTCAGCAGTTCAAACCCACCAGCCACTCCATGGGAGAAAGATGGACAGTCACCTCCTGTAAAGACATACAGCATCGGAAGTCCATGGAGGGTTGCTATAAGCCAGAAAGGGAGCTGTTCCAGGAGCAAGATGTAGCCCTCTACTCCACTATGCTGAGGAGGCAGATAATAACTAAAAGGTCAGCAGTTCAAACCCACCAGCCGCTTCATGAGAGAAAGACGTGTCAATCTTCGTCTGTGAACATTACAGTCTTGGAAAGGCCCATGGGCAGCTTGATTTTACCCTCAATGTCCACTATGGGAACTGACCAAATAGTGGTGAGTTCGAGGGAGGGGTTGGTCAGACCTCATTTCTGTACTATAAAGGGAAAATAAGATTGCCCCAAGGCAGAAGATTGGCATCTGGCGGCTTCCTGGACTTCTCTTCTGATTCTCCCATCTCCACACCTTTGCCTAACCTTTGTTTTAAAGTCATTATTGGCCATTTGGTTTTGCAGTGTTAATTTTTTAAGGGCCAATCTAGTTTAATAAAAGAATCTGGGTACCAATCTAGAATTAGCAATAGCATTAACTTGAGTAAAACCAAACAGAAAATTAAATTACTAAGACGTGTATTTTTAGAAACTAACTTGCTGCTCTCTCACTGAGAATCTCTATCATCCAGCACCTTTCAAAATGAAAGCAGTGCTCTGTGACCTCTAGAATCCCTTCCGAGTGTCGGTGCCACGACTGGAGTCTAGAATCCAAATCTACACGCCTTTCCCAGGGGCTCCCCACAGCCTCTTCCTGTGAAGAAGGAACACAAGGACAGACAGTTCCAGAGAGTTCTGATAAGCCATGATTTACAAAACAAAGAGCAAAGCTTTTTTCCTGTTTGTTTGTTTTAAATATTCTTCTGCATCATTTGTATCAATCCTGTTTGAAAAAGAAATGGACACCTTCCCCCCCCCCCAGCTTGCCTGAAATCGCACACTCCTTCCTCCGAGCCAGCACTTTGTGGGATCAGAAAAGAACCGCTGATACCCCTTCCCAGCCAAGACATTACAGCCAGAGACACTACAGCCTTCCTACTGCTAATACGAGAGTACACAGAACCCACAGCCTAGCAAGAAGGAGAGTCATCCTGGTCCCAGCGGGTCATGGTCATCTGAGCCAGGTTCAGATGCTGGCGGTTCATAATCTCAGAGTCTGCACTGCTGGTGAAATTGGCAGAACAAGCATTGCGGGATTTACAGGAAAGATTCCACAGTGACAATGACAGACGTGGCAACAAGGATGAAACTCACCTCTCCTCATTCACTGGCTTTGGAGAGCTGAGCCCAGTCCCTGGGGGTCTGCTGACAAAGCAATGACTTCACAGACAGAGGTAAAGGATGTTGGGTCAAAACCCCAAGCTGGTTCTAGAATGCTAGCTACGGACCCAGGGACGAACAGGTGCTGACTTGAGCACAGTCAGGTGCATGGAAGGTGGGGAGAGAAGGACAGCATGCACCAGTCTGCAGCTCACTGGGGTCACCCTTGCCAGATGGATCATGGCCCGAGTTCTCAGGGGTTTCTTTAGGGAAAGAAAACTGCTTTAGAGAGGGAGATTCAGCGCCACATCACCCCTCGTTGGGCAAAGCTAACACCCTCTATGTGTAAGTGTATAAACGGTACGCTATTACGTCTCCAGAGCTCCCTAAATAGATACACTATATGTCTTATGTGTGTGTGTAAACTTGAATTATGAAAACCAGAGGACCAGTGAAGCACAGCAAGACCCTTGGCAGGAGGGGCTGACATAGCAGCTGCAACAATGGGCCTGAGCACAGCGGACGTTATGAGGATGGCGCAGGACTGCTGCACACAGGTTGTTGTGAGTCTGGGTCCATTGGGCAATTACAGCAACACTATATTTAAATAAGACCTGGGGGCAGGAGGTCTTATTTCTAAGGAAGAAGGAAGGTATGAAAGTGACCGAGACCTTAGAAGTGAGGGTCCAGGCCGGAACAGGGTCAGGGAGCAGAGGGCTGGCCCCAGAAAGAACCGGCATTTCTTGGAGAGAATCTGGCCTTGTAGCCTTGGGGAAGAACTCCAACCATACCTCCGCTTCCCCAGAGCCATTTCTCAAGAGCAAATCTGTCACCTTTGCACCAAATTCTGCTCTACAGGGAGCAGATTCCCCAGCAGATGCCCAGTTCAGCGCAGAGCTTGCTCCTCGTATTCTCTGGGCCACCATGCATGTGCGTGTGCATGCGTGTGAGCGCAGAGGGGTGACAGGTTGGCCTGGCCACACACAGCCTCAGATGCACAGAATTCCCACCTTGGAGACTTTAGGGACAGAGATCAGCGGGGCCCAGCAAGGGAAAACTCAGGCAGGAGAGAAAGAGAGAGGTCTGAGATCTTAGAGGGGAGCCCCTGGGAAATGGTAAGGGGCTGAGGAAGGAAGGGGGAGGTGAAGAGGAGCAGGGGGCCCAGCGAGAGTGAGAGATGGAGAGAGAAAATTCCAGACAGATGGAAACAAGCTTCAGAGGAGACTGGTACAAGGGAATGGGAAGGCCAGGAGAGAATGCAGCGCAGACAGAGTCTGACAGCTGGCCCTGGAACATCTCCGTGCCAGAGGTGTGCTGATGAGGAGTTCCAGCGCGCAGCGCGCAGCCTGTAAAGGACAGAGCCCCGGGGACCTTGTCTGCCAGCTGCTGCGCTCAATTGTTCCTCTGACCTGCATCTTGTGGCCCCCTGGGCCCCCTGGGCGCTGACAGGCAGGACGGAGACTCTGGGGACCCTGCGCCCGGTTGTCGAAGGGCACAGAGGTCTCTCCGGCGGCTCGTGCCCGCCCCCTTCGCCCCCGGCGCCCGCTGCGCCCCCGCCGGCGATGCGCTCCGCGGTCACCTCCTAGGTCCCCAGCACCCTGGCTGGTCCGCACCCTTACCTGGCCCTTGACCAGGCTGGCGGCGAACTGGCGCATGACGGCCTCCACGGTGTAGGCGCTGGACCAGCCGCGCGGCGTGAGCAGCTCCATGCAGATGGCGCCGCCGTCCAGCACGTAGCCGTTCTCCAGGCGCGGGCTGAGCACCCGCATGAAGGGCGGCGAGAAGGGGAAGTTGTCGGGGAAGGTGAGGTTGAGCAGGATGAACTCCGTGTTGGTCTCCTTCATGTCCTGCCACAGCACCGAGTCCTTGTCCACCTGGTGCAGCTTCACGTTCCAGTCGAAGAGGCTCTCGTCCACCAGCTCCACGGAGATGAAGCGGTCGCTGAGACGCGCGATGTCCTGCAGCTCCTTCATGAGCCGCCGGCTGCGCACCTGCGTGCAGTGCTGCTGTCGCGCCGCGGGCACCAG